ACAGGCCAGCTTCACGTTGGAGCTTTTATAGAATCCTTTCTAATGGTCTGATCCGGTACATCCAGGCTGAATCCGTGAGTGATTATAATAGATCAGGGGCTCTGGTTTGGCTTTGGGCCGCTGAGTGAACCGGCTGAGCTGTGAGCAGTGCTATCCAAGCCTTGAACTAAAGGTTCACTGATACGTCTGCGTTAATCATCTTCGGACTCGCCGTCAGAATCTGAGCCGCTTCTCATCGGTCTTTCCCTCTCCGCCCAAATCGCTATCATCAATATTTAGAAGCCTGTTTCAAAGTTAGATTTCTTCTGAAAGCCATTTTACCACATTAGCCAAAGAGTTCTAGATGAAACTGTTGGCTGCTAGGCAACTGTACCCAACGTCAATCAACGGCGGGAAGAATTTACAATGCAACTACTAGAGCCGTCAGAATGAGCGCTGTGGGAGATCGAGGTAAAATTAAACATACAGATTTTTTACGTTTTTATTCTATTAAAAAACTATGTGAAAATGAAGGAAATATGGAAACAAGTCGGTTAACATGAGAAACATATGATTAATGTAGATAAAGTTCTTTCCCTTTAAAATCTCAGAACCGTCAAAAGGACGGTTTGACCACAGAACATGGGAGTTCTAGTGTTAACGACCCCCCTTTCAGAGACATAGACAGGTATGGAAACAAGGCTTTGTTGCTCCACTGTATAAAACTTGGAACTAAACGCTATTTCTGACATTTAGAATTGAAAAAGCTTCCTGGATGGAAGAGAAACGTCTTCAAACTTGGAAACAAAGTCCACTGGATTTTTTTTTTTTACTTTTTAGGAACAGATCAGAGAATATTTGGTCAGAACTGAATCCAGTTTTACGCCTTCAGGCTTTGACCTGGTTTTGGTCTGAACAGCACTTATATCTGGAGTCAGCATTTTTACAGCATTTGCTACAATCTGATCTATAAACTGCTGATAAAAACCAACATATTCGCCTTCCTCTGTCCATCTGTGTCCCTTCGTACCTTTCTTGCATCTGCTGGTCGCTAAGCTGCAGCTGCTCCTTCAGCGCCTGGTATCTGTCCCACCTCAGCAGCCTGGTCCCGTCGTAAAGGTCCAGCTCCCTGTCATGGAGCAACCTGAAAATATCGCAGGGTGAGGTTGGCACTTATGGATCCAGCTCTGCAGATGACGCAACGTTAGAGGCTCTGAGAGGAAATGAAATGGGGGTCGACCTGGAGAGCACGGCCAGGGTTCCCAGGTTAACCCTGTGGATGCCGTCCAGGAGCAGCAGCTTGCCCTCCAGGGCAGCAGTGACCAGAGGAGACGGCCTCCAGGCTGTGTCTCCATTGGGGAGGGTGTACCTCTGCTGCAGAAGGTCCCTGGCTGTCATGTCCTGGATGAGACAACAAAGAGGTTGGATAAACCAGGAAGGAACATTTAAAATTAAAGCAACAAAAATACAGAAGAGATGATAAAAGTCTCGTAAAGAAGGTGATGTTTTAACCACAACAGATTCATTAGAAACTCACAGGAAACCGGAACAACTCTACAGTCTTTCAAAAAGAAGATTAGATCCTTTTAGGAGCTTTTCAAAGTCTCAGATGTCCTCAGCAAAAATCCACCTGCCATAAAACTCTGAGAAACAGTGACCCTAACCCTGGATCTCCCCCGGCGAAACATTAAGGCCATTATTAAGAAAATATAGCCACAGGGAACCTGCCAGGGGAGGGCAGGCCGAGCGTTAATCAGAACAGCAACCAAGAGGCCAAAGAAATCCCCCACGGTGCTGCAGAGACCAGAGGATCCGTCTGCATGAGCGCTGAAAGCTGCACCGACCTGTGCTTCGCTGCAGACAAACACAGAGATCAAAGACGGCTCCTAAATCAGGAGGTTAGTCAGTGAATGTAAAGCTACGTAGCATAATGCTAACACCAATCAAAATCGTGCAGATATCAAAGACACGATGAAGGCAGAATGGTACTGTGGGGGTTCTCATCAGCTCGGACTGGAAAACTGGTAAAAATGACAAATCAGTTTGATTTACCCGGAAAGGTGAGGTTAGGAAAGAGGTTCCCTTTCCAACATGGCCGCCGCTTCAGCAGGTTACAGAGGATGCACTGCTCATGTTGTGGTGGGAATCCCTCTATTCTGCGCTGATGTTGGCTAACTCTTAACACTCTAATTACCTCATGATTGAAGTGTAGCCATGAGAGGCCAGTTCGCCTTTCAGCCAGACCAACTATTCCCTCTAACGACCCCCCTTTCAGAGACATAGACAGGTATGGGGCATTGCAGGCTAACAAAGAAGCCAAACGACCCCCATTCCAAAGGGGGGGACCCGTTCATCCATTTGTAAACAAAGTCCAGTGGATTGGTTTTAAGTTTTTTGGAATTTATGAAGAATAATATACACACTACAAAAACATTTAAATGAGTAATTTTTTCTTAAAATAAGTGCATTTTTTCTTGAATTGAGGAGGTAAGGGAGACACTTTGCCAATGGAACATTATTTACATTTCAAATAAAATAAAACTTATTTCAAGTGCATATTATCTAATTATCTTATTTTAAGAGTAGATATATGAATTCCATTGAAACCCAAAGTATCTCAATGCAAAAACTTGATTAAATAAGTAGAAATTTCTTAAAATAAACATATTGAACCGTAATTTGAGCAGGTAAATGAGATGATCTGCTAATAGAAAGAGTATTTTTACACTTAAAATAAGACACTTAGATAATATAGACATGAGATAAGAAAATGCAATAGTTTTTTCTTATTTCAAATGTAAATTGTCTTCTTCCACTGGCAAAGTGTATCGCCTACCTGCTCAATTCCAGAAAAATGCAAAAACTGAATTACTTGGATGAACATTTTCTGTATTGGAGGGGTGGAGACAGACATGCAACGCTGGGCTGAGGGCTGTTTGACTGAAACACATCAGTGACCTCATCGCTGCGTCGCTTCTACAGAGAGTCTAAATGGTGGCGAGATATAAATGACACACATACAGCAGCAGCCATTCAAATGGCCGTTCCCAGTCAAACACCAGCCGAATGGCAGCCCACTTCCCTGCAACTCCCATCAGAATCCCCTCCAACTTCCAGCCACTGCAGTGACTCCCTCTTGTATATTTTTTTTTTTACTCTGACTCCACCCTTTCATTCAATTACAGGGTCTGACCAGGAGATGGCGCTTCTCTTTAGATCTTAATGTCCACAAATCATGACAGAAAGAATATTTTAGTACAAAGATTGATGTTTAAAAAGGAATTGAAGGGGACCAGCAAAGGACCAGCCAAAGACCAGCCCAGGACCAGCCAAGGACCAGCATAGGACCAGCATAGGACCAGCATAGGACCAG